AGGAAGCGAAACTTTCCTTTAATAAGACATTCAATAATAATAATTATAGTGCACCATCAACATCGGCTCAGGCAAAGTTTAGAGAACCAATACGGGCTATAAATCGGCCTCAAAATTCCCTACCGCTTAGGTTTGGTAACTCAGGCCCCATGCAAAACCAGACGAGTAATAAAGCTCCAGTTCTGCGACAAAATAATTTGACTCCAGAACAGAGGCAGCAGTGGGTGCAATCCATGTTGCCATGGAAGAACCGCCCATCATCATGTAACTTCAGGGCATCTTCAGGAAATTTTAGGAATAATATACCCCAGCTACAAGCTCCTGCACAGAAGGTTTCAGACGTCACAATGAGATCCGTCTCTAAGCCTCAAAAACCACAGTTTGCAGCTGAGGAGCTATTCTACACAGGCCTACCTGGACAACCATACGAACAACAATATGGCGAGGACGACACGGACTACGTGCATCAACAAGGTCAGTATGCATACTGTAGTGACAACTACAACCAACAGGTATACGAACCTCCAATGGACGACGGTGAGGTTCAGCAGGATTTTTACCAAGGTCCGGTGCCCTCAGACCAAAGTTAGTAAAACTAAATAACCATGATAAAGATCACCTTCCATATATTGAGCTGCCAGAATTTCAAGGTAAGTTCCTTATAGACACCGGAGCCTCGCGCTCTATGATATCACCTAGTGTAATACAAAACACAATTTTCGAACACCTTGTAGAGTATGAACCATTCGAGGTAAAAACAGCACATGCCATTACACAGCACGATCAAGTGGCCTATCTACCACTGCCACCCGCGTTTAACAGCGATATAATTCATAAGTTCCTTATATTCGATTTCGACCCCAAATATAAAGGCTTAATAGGATTGGATTTACTGAGGACGCTATCGTGTAACATAGATATAAAAAATAGACTTTTACATACCGCTAACTCGCAGATACCAATTTCATTTGACTATCCCAGTAAAAAACTCAAGATTGAACCAAAATGCGAAAAAATTATAATAGTGAAAACTAATTATTCTGACGGTCAGTACATTCACGATGATTTCATGTGGTCTAACGGCTTAAAATCTCCCGCAGCTATGGTCGAGGTCAAAGAGGGAAAATTCAGAACATCTATTATAAACTTTAATTCAGAAAAACGAATAATTTCTAATAATGAAAAGATATACCTAGAACCATACCGTGAGAACTCTGATAGATCTAGATGCAGTTTAAATTCCATAGAGGTTAACTCGGATATAGAGAAAGAATTACGCAACAACTTAAATAAAATACGTACAGACCATATGAATGAAGAGGAGAAACGCGAAATCACTAAGATTTGCTATCAGTATAGAGACATCTTCCACTCTGAAAATATCCCACTTTCTTTTACGCATGCAGTTAAACATCAGTTAAGACTGACCGACCAGACTCCGATATTTGTAAGAAGTTATAGACAAGCCCCACAACAACGCAAAAAAATACAGAATCAAGTAGACAATCTTTTAAAACAAGGTATTATTCGCGAAAGTATATCCCCATGGTCATGCCCTGTTCATATTGTTCCTAAAAAACCGGACGCACTAGGTAAGGTAAAATGGAGGTTAGTCATAGACTATCGAAGACTTAACGATAGAATAGTAGAAGAAAAGTACCCACTTCTCAACATAGATGACATTTTAGACAGACTTATACGCGCCCAATATTTTACGACCTTAGATCTGGCTATCGGCTATCATCAGGTGGAGATGCACCCTGATGACATAGAGAAAACTGTATTCACAACAGAGAGAGGACATTACGAATTCCTTCGAATGCCATTTGGCCTAAAAAAATGCACCCAGTACTTTCCAACGGCTCATGGACCACATCCTTAGAGGTATTAACAACGTTTACACCTATCTCGATGACGTCATAATAATATCAACGTCATTGCAGGAGCATATAGAGAAACTGAAACAAGTATTTGAAAGGTTTAAAACACATAATCTCAAAATTCAGTTAGACAAGTCAGAGTTCCTTCAAAAACACGTCACATTTTTAGGCCATGAGCTAACTGATCAAGGACTAAAACCTAATCAGGACAAAATTAAAGCGGTTTTAAACTTCCCTCTACCGAAAACACAGAAAGAAATTAAAAGCTTTTTAGGACTAGTAGGCTACTATAGAAAGTTCATAAAAGACTGCCAAGCTTACGAAACCAATGACCTTATGTCTTAAGAAAAATAGTAAAGTTATACACTCCTCCGAATTTTTGGAGTCCTTCAATAATTGCACAGATTTTAACCAATGCACCTATCCTACAGTACCCAAACTTTGACGAACCATTCATACTGACAACAGACGCATCGGACGTAGCCCTTGGTGCAGTACTGTCTCAAGGAAAAATAGGTTCAGACAAACCGGTAGCATACGCATCAAGGACACTTTCGGATACAGAAGCGAAATACTCGACAATAGAAAAGGAACTCTTAGCCATCGTCTGAGCAGTGAAATACTTTCGGCCTTATCTTTATGGACGAAAATTCGTCATATATACCGACCATAGACCCCTGACACGGCTAATGTCACTAAAAGACCCTAATTCTAAATTAACTAGGTGGCGGCTTAAACTTGCTGAATATGACTACACGGTTGTTTATAAAAAAGGACGGCAAAACACCAACGCAGACGCTCTATCCAGAGTCAAAATTTATCATAAGAGCATCGATTCACTAGCAGTCAATTTAGATGACAATTTTGACGACGACATCATAAACAGAATTTTCGAAAACGTACGACAAGAGATAGATACGGAGACAGAAGGAATACAACAGTCCGTGGATAATAATGACGACAACAGCAATATCAACGATAATAACGTGACAGTTAGACCCAATGTACAACCTCCTCTAACAGACACAGAATCCGATAGTATGAGTATCGTTACACGCGATCCCGATCACTTAATATCGACAAACCATACGCAACCCGACAACGAAAACAACGGCATACCAATCTTATCAGACGCGATCGACAGACAATTAAAACAATTCCATATCAGGTCAACTCCAGGATCAACATACAGAGTAGAAAATAGGTCTACTAACTCTAGAACAGTAATTAAAGATGTATTTATTCCAGTCAATAACACAGAGAAAGAAATTATCCAATTCTTAAAAGAACACACTATTGCTGATCGTGTATTCTACTGCTACTTTTATAATGAAGAACTGTACCTAGCATTCTCCAGAGTTTACACGACGGTATTTAACGACAGAGGACCTAAGCTTTTTAGATGTATTTCACGCGTTACCCTTGTCGAAAACAAGACAGAACAACAAGAAATAATTAAGAAATATCATGAAGGCAAAACTGTGCATCGTGGTATCCAAGAGACATACAAGCAAATCCATAGAAACTACCATTGGCCTCACATGCTACTCACAATTCAGGCATTCATAAATCAATGTAGTATCTGTTTACAAGCTAAATATGAAAGGAACCCTCTTAGACCCTCATTAGCCTTAACGGAAACGCCCACAAAACCTATGCAACATATATTTATGGATCTGTATTCGACAGGCGGTGCCACCTTCGTCACTATAATAGACAATTTCTCAAAGTTCGCATAAGCAATACCGTTGAACGCCACTAGTAGTGTACATATAGCTGAAGCTTTATTTCAGGTGTTCTCAGTTTTAGGAATTCCTTATAAAATTGCAACGGATTCAGACAGTAAATTTGACAATGAAGTTATAAAGGAGATATGCGCTTTACATGGTATAAACATTCACTTTACGACTCCATACAATCCAAATTCGAATTCACCCATAGAACGCTTTCATTCGACTATAGGAGAGATTATCAGAATCCAACGAATGACAAACAAAGATGATGCCATACAATTAATTATGAAATTTTCAGTCATTGCTTACAATAACTCAATCCATTCGGCAACAGAATATACTCCACACGAGTTACTATTTGGACATACAGCTTCTAGAAATCCACTAGAGTTACATTATCCTAAGCAGTTTTACCAGGACTATGTTATCAAGCACAAAATGCATGCAGAAGCCGTCCAGGAATGTGTGTCAGCGCACATGGCCAAAAACAAGGAACAGGTAATAGCGAAGCGAAACCAGGCAGCAGAGGAGATAACATTTAAGGTAGGTGAAACAGTTTATAAGCAGGTTGCCAAAACAGCGAGAAACGACAAAACTAAACCAGTGTTTAAAGGACCGTATAAGATTATTCATTTACATCCTAATAATGTAGCAGAAATAGCAGGGAATCATCCTAATTCTAAGTCTATTCGGGTACACTTCAAGCTTCTACGAAGACCCCATCTTGTTCCAGGACAACCATCATCGGAGCCTTCGTGTTCCAGGCAAGATCCGACGTAACATTTCAACCCGTAGACAATACGAACGGAGTTCTATTACTTAGACAAGGTCATATTCTGAAACAGACTAATTCCTTCAACCTTGCTTGTGTTTATAATGTTACGCACTTGAATCTAATATCGATAAAATTAATGGCATTTTACGCAAGTGCTAAGGCAACTGAAAGTAACAGTACTACACAGAAGAATTACATAAAACATATAGGGATCAGATAGAACACAAGTTAGATTTAATTAATAAGAAAATAATTTTTATTGCACCTAGGATTAGATTTAGGCGTGGTATTATAAATGGACTAGGTTCTATAGTGAAGGCGATAACTGGTAATTTAGACAACGAAGACGCGATTCAATTTCAAAGCGAAATAAATAAAATTCGTAATTCGGTCTATAAAACGCAACGCTCACAGAGGCGAACCCTATCTTTAGCTGAAAGTACTACAAAGGAATTTTCGAAACAACTAAGCAAAATAGATGATAACCAAAAGAGATTAACATCTATACTAAAAAACATAACAATTAATTCCGATACAATAAAAAACCAGTTACACTTTTTAGAGATTTACGTTCAAATAAGTTTTAGTTTACAGATTATTTTAGATAAGTTAATGGTGCTAGAAGATGCTATGGCATTCTCGCATTTAGGTATAATGCACCCTAGTATTATAAGCCCACGAAATTTAGTTTTGGAACTTAGTAATTTGCAGAATAACTTTTCACTTTATCCAGTCGAGGAGATCAGTATTGATAATATTCATAAGATAGAAAAGTTTATTAGCGTTAAAGCCTATAGTACGGAACATTCTTTAACATTTATATTAGAAATCCCATCCGTCCAACCTATATTATATGATTATATACACATATATTCCCTGCCAAACAACCTAAACCTGACCATTATACCTAAATCCAAATTCCTCGCACTTGGAAGCGATGAGTACGCCTACCTGGAAGAAGATTGCAAGAAGCTGTCAGAAGATACCTGGCTCTGCAAATCACTGGATACTAGAGCCATAGAGAAATCTGAAGATTGCATCATCTCACTCATCAAGCATAAAGATGGTAACTGTACTCGTGCGCGCATGAATCTGAAGCGAGGAAAATTGCAGAAGATCAAAGAAAATAAGTGGTTGGTAGTATCAACGGAACCAGAAATTATAAAAACCCAATGCGGACAGAAAACAGAATATAGGAAACTATCAGGAACATTTTTCATCAACCTAACACAGGACTGTCAAGTTAAGATCATGAATACAACAATAAGAACACACACCAGCAGCATCTCGATGGACGAAGTCATCCCTCTAACCTAATAAACCAGGAAGAAGTCCAGTACGAAATACATCTGGAAGACATCTCACTAGATAGTGTCCATGAACTTATGAACAAGGTTGAAGACATTCAAGAAATAGAAAACTGGAACTGTTCTTATATTATGGCAATCCCCAGCTGGTCTACAGTGCTCCTCTACATACTAGCAGCATCTATTGCAATCTGGAAGATATACAATTGGAATAAGCGATCGAGTAAAGTAAGTCGCGAGGACGCTCCTGGAAGCTGCAGAACTAGCTTCCAACTTAAGGAGGGAAGAGTTAACGTGTCGTAACCCTGGAATCGGGCTGACATAGCAGTTTCACAGAACAATCGGCAAATGAGGAATGCTTGCGCTGCGGAAAGGATCGCCGTGGAAACAATAGAACTGTCTCACAGTCTGACACCATCCACGCTTAACTTAACTTCTTTGTAACTTTACATATTAATTGAATTTATTACTTTTGTAACTTTTGTGAAATTAAATTAATTTTATTCTTTTTAAAAAGTCTTTTGATCGCCGCCATATCGTAACTCGCGACGGTACAATTAAACAATGAAAACGAAATTATTTTAATCACTAAAATTCAATACAAGCCTCTTGTCACGAACGTACAACTATACAAACTAATCCGAGGCGGTCTTCACGAAACCACAAATTCAATAGCGAATTAAACGCGCACAAATCCTCAAAATCTAGACCACAAAACCAAAACTGGTCGCGCGAAACCAGTTGCAGCTGCAGCGGTCACCACAAAATACGTTAATCGACCGCGCCGCTGCTATCAAGCTACTAGTCTCGCCCACGAGCGCCGAACGCCGGGAAGCTGCATACCGCTGCCCCCTCCCCCCCGGCGAGGCGCACGTCACCTCACACCATCGGGCGATTCGCTTGGTCAAACGCGATTGGATGGTGTTTCAAATGACCATGTTTGGGCCTAAACACTTGACGTTGAGGAAATAAAAAAAAATTAAAAAAATTGCCACGACTATCGGAATAGAAGTGGCTGTACAAGAGAAGACTGCAATTACTTTCATATAACATGGGAAGATGAAAATGTATTCCTTACCACTGGCCAAATACCTCGAGTATTTGCTCAACGCCACGCTGCATGTCAGCTTCAACAAATGTAGAGACTATCACCAACAATACTAATGATGGCAATATTGCCTTCCATACCAATCCAACATCCTCCTCCTCAAACAGCGGCTCCTCCAGCACCTTACACTTCATATAAAATATCTATACTACCACCACCGCCGCATAGGACTTACTATAACTAGCCGCATACAGCATCAAGTTGCACACAGAATATCTTATCACACAATTAATCGTGCAAGAGCACCAGTCACACAACCAACCCTACCCAGGATATCAACATCAGCAGCCATCCCTTTTCATCATGGCTGTCAAAATTGTAATCATTATGTTATGGGAAGATATCCACCCCCAAATTATTACCCTCCATATAAATTATATTTTGGCGAGTTTTAGTTTACCAAATGAGGAAGTGTTAAAAACGAGTGATTGTTACAGTTAAACAAACCCTACAAGTATCAAATTATTTAGTTTCTGAATCTGACCTTCATTTTACTACAAATGTGACAGACATAAAGACTGACGACAAAATACTTGAAAAATAATTAAATGAACTCAAATTGGTTCATACTTAGGACGAGGAAGGTGAGGAAATTTATAGAATGTGTAAAAATTCGCACCAAGAATGAAAATCCAATCTTTGTTAAACCAACAGACAGGCCCCAACACAAATAGAAGAAATAAGTAGACAAATATATAAAAAGATAATGTTATCCAAGAATCGCATTCTCCGTGGAAAGCTCCAGTGTACTTAGGACCAAAAAGAACGATGCAACAGGAGAACAAAAATATTGTATGGTCGTCGACTACAGACGCTTAATTGACATCAAAGACATGATCAACTCGTATGAATGCACAGATCGAGTGGTATATGTTGCGGAAGAGAGTGAACAAAAAATGATAGTTTCTTTCTTGATATTTTTATCAAGAAGGAACGATGTGCCACCACAGAAACCATTAGTTATGCTTCGTAGGAATTTTTGTTGGAGTCAAATGGAACAGACAGTAGCAGCAATTATCAATGCTTGCAAAACTTGCAATATGATGAAATATGATTGAAAGCCTAAACCCATCAGGCAATTAACACAAATACAAGATGCGCTTTTTCAAGAGGTGTTCATCGATTTATTTTCCATAGAAGGTAAAAACTACTTAACCCTTATTGATGCATTCGGTGAATTAGGGTAGACCGTGGATATACCTAATAAGTCAACACCGGTAGTTGATAGAGCCCCATTAACCCATTAGAGCCAAACGATATAAAATGAAATTTGCAGCCCATAAAACAAAAGTAATAATAGTAACGAAAAAGTTAAAATATGATACACCAAAATGTGTACTAAATAACACACTACTAAATATAGGTAGTGATCTTACAGTATTAGGATTAACAATCGATAATAATTAAAAATTCAACAAACATTTAGACAGAACAATCCAAAAAGTTACAAATATATATAAAAGTATTACTAGAGCTGCCAAATCTACCTGGGGACTTAGTAGTGAAATATTAAGAATTATTTACATAGCAGTAATTGAACCGATTATTTTATATGCATCAAGTTCCTAGGATCAAGTTGTTGACAAAAAATATATCAAATCGAAATTGAACCGCATAACGAGAATGATCGGAAATAAAAGACTTGATTGAGTCATTTAAATTGTCTGTAGAGACCCTGTTAACTGCAGAAACAACACTAAAATTTGTTTTAAAGAAGTTGCTCACTCATGACACTGTGTTAAGTACTGAATTATATATATAAAACACAACGTACAAGAATTAAAGAACGCAGCATTGTTGTAACAGGAATATTAATATACTTACAGAATCCAAAGAAATATCATGAAAATGTAAACAGATCTGATGATACATTTACTATGCCAAAGAAAAAATTCATACGATTAGATATGAGAAAAATCTTAGAAAGAGTTATTCAAGACGATAACTCTGAGGCGCGATACATTTATTGAGATTATGCGTTTCATTCGTGCAGCTGACAAAAGCAAACTTGATAAAAACGATACAATTACGAAATTGCAACCTCCAATTAATAAACTAATACAAAAATTTCTCGACCAAATTGCCATTGAACAAAATCTTAACCATGATGAAAACATGATTGAATACTTCGGAAATCATTGATTCAAGCAATGTATTTGTAACAAACCTATCTGGTTTGGATATAAATGTTGGTGTTTGAATGACGGTAGTGGGTATTTGACAAATTTTGAAGTATATCAAGGTGCTATCCCAGGTGCGAATATTGAAAATGAGCAAAACTCTGGATAAACAACAGCATCCATGCTTTCAATGATTATTAAATTACCAGAAGTGATGAGAAAACAGAAACGTTAATTTTATTTTGACAACCTTTTTACTAGTATTCCACTTTTGATTCAATTGAAAAGTATTGGTTACGGAGGAACAGGCACACTTCGCCAAAACAGATCGTCAAAACAGATTGCCAAAAGAATGCCCAATTTCTAAGGTTGAAGTCTTGAAAAAAAGAGCGAGAGGCTCATACGAATATGCCTCTCAAGTTGATATCGTTATAGCCAGCCCCATGGATGGATAATTCTATTGTAACTGTTGCTTCTACAGATCACAAAGTAACTCCAGTAGGATTTGCTCATGTAAACAATTATACGATTGGAATTCGAGGCAAAAAATGGTGGTGGCCTATTTTTACTGTAAATGACGCCTGGACACTGATACGAAAATCAGGAAAAGACATTTCGCAGCTCAATTTCCGTCGTGAATTAACCCAAACATATTTGAAAAACCATGGAAATCCCCCGAAATCTGGTTATCGACCATCTACCTCTAAGTCTGGATCAAGGGTTTCGGAAGGAGTAACAAATGAAAGAGTAAATCACTATCCAAAATCAGTAGAAAAAAAAACGAAGATGTGCCGGAGCATACTGTACAACTATTGGGAGAGTCATATGTTCAAACTTTAATGTAGGTTTATGTCTTAAATATTTTGAAAATTATCATTCTGAGTAAAATTTTAACATTTTTTATTTTTCACTTTATATAGATTTATCTAAATAAATTTAAAAAAATATTCGTTTGTGTTTCTTATTCATGACAAACAGTAGAAAACTGAATTTTTGTACTCCTTTGAACCTAGCGTTGCCATATGACAACAGTCTCAAAACTCAAAATTGATGTTCTTGTTATTTTTTCTTTTGGTGTAATGTTGTTACTTAGACGTTATTCAACCCGAATAGAAATAAAAAAACAAAAAAAAAAACAAAAGTTTCAGGCTTTAATGGGTTAAATACTTCTCTTTTTGTGAAATTCTTAAAAAGATAAATTCGCATCCCGGAATGGAATTCAATAACGAGTTAATGAAGGAATCCCTTAGCCTCCATTAAATAGAACGTCACATAGGTACAAGCAATAACCCAAACTCAATAGGAATAATTGAGCGATTTCATTCAACAATCATTGAAATCTACATGTTAGCAAAAATGAACAAAAGTGCACTGATGCCTCGTCAATAATGACGTACACAGTTATCGCATATAGTCATGCTATAAACTCAACTACAGGCCTTACCCCATTTGAGGTAATTTTGGCCATAGCGATACAGACACCCCATTTAACGTAGAGTTCGAGAAACATTTCCGCACAGCCTCGGGCGCTATCTGAATCGCATACCGAAACAGAAAAGAAGCAAACCAGTAACCAACCTACGTAAATATGTCGTAAGTATGTATGGGGGACATGTTCAAAAGGCAAAATATAAATTTCATTATGAACTTGACGTTGAAGAAATAAAAAAAAATAAAAAAATTGCCACGACTATCGGAATAGAGGTGGCTGTACAAAAGAAGACTGCAATTATTATCGTACAACATGGGAAGATGAAAATTTATTCCTTACCACTGGCCAAA